TCTCTCTCTCTCTCTCTCTCTCTCTCTCTCTCTCTCTCTCTCTCTCTCTCTCTCTCTCTCTCTCTCTCTCTCTCTCTCTCTCTCTCTCCAACTCTTCTCCGGCTCTCTCCTGCTCTTCTCCATTTTCTCTCTCCATGGATATTCCTCTCTCTCACCATTCTTCTCACTTTCATCTTGCAGAACCTCAAATGAGGTGGTAAGGGCATCTTATGGCATAGTCGCACCTGGAGTTTCTGAAATGTGTATGACTGTGATGACAGCCATATTTCTGTTGAAAGAAGTACAAGAGTGTGTATGGTCTTAGGCTGATGATGTCATTTTTTCTTTGATGTAATGCCAGTTTGGCGCCGGACACAACATCGGCATAGCACGGCCTGGGCCCTTATCTCATCCAGAAATAACGTTTTCAGATTCACACAGGATATTACCCAGGAATAACGTTTTCAGATTCACATAGGAATGATAGGATTGTTTTTTTTTTTTTTTTTTTTTTTTCACACAGGACATTAATATCATATTATCCAGAAATAGAACATCACAACTTATTCAGGTTCACACAGGACAAAACCAGCATTGCCAATGTTGACCTTAGCTTGCCTTGATCTTATCGAAGGTTCAGGCCCTTCAGAGTTTAGGGCTTTGGGTTTCAGGTTTTGGGTTTAGGGCTTTGGGTTTTGGGTTTGGGGTTTAGGGTTCAAACTTTAAAGTCGTTCAGCTGACTGCAAGTGCACGATCAGTTGGCTTTACACAAGGCAGTGACAGCACATAAACCACCACTACCTTTGGCGTATATCGGTCGCGGGCGAGGGCCCATGAGGCCCCACGACTTCCGGAAGCTGGTGACACGAAAATGGCCACCGATGAAATTTATCAATGGCGGCTGCCGCTCGGCCTGGCCTCCGAAGGCCCCCGAAGAACGCGGTATAGGTTATACTCCCAAATGGAACACCACTGTGAAAGTTAGTCGCGGTTCAAGGCGAAGAGAAGAGAGAGGAGTGCATGGGCAGCTGGAAGGGAGAGAGGAGCAAGAGGAGAAGCGAGAGGGGGAAAAAGAGGAGAGAGAGGGGGAGAAAGAGGGGGGAGCGAGGGGGGAGGTGAGGGAAGGAATGCCGAAAACGATTGGCAATTTCACACACAACCTCAACAAATGAGAAGAGGACGCGTTGGCAAGACGGAAGGGAAGATGGCAGTGAGCGGGTAAGGAGAGGGATGACAGAAATGTCACGAGTTTATCTATTTAGTGTAGTGAATCCACACACCCATAAGTGAGAAGCTTGACATTGTTCTGTAGACACCACTGAACCATACCCTTCTCCGGTCGCGTGTCAATCACGGAGTAGGCAACCTGCAAGAAGAGCAAGACAGACGCTTGTCATCTTCCATCTTATCCAAACAACAGCTGATCAGGACTTGCGAGAATTCAATCTTTCTTTCTTTCTTTCTTTTCTTTGTTTCTTTCTTTCTTCTTCTTCTTCTTCTTTTTGCTTTTCATCAGGCAAGGTAGGTAGGTATGTTATACAAGTGTGCAATTGAACTGCATGTTCCAAACGGTCATGCTAACTTTCTTTATCTCATAGAAATGCTACCAGTCCTTCTTTCGTATTCTTCTTGTTCTTGTTCTTGTTCGTGTTGTTGTTGTTGTTGTTGTTGTTGTTGTTGTTGTTGTTGTTGTTGTTGTTGTTGTTGTTGTTGTTGTTGTTGTCTTCTTCTTCTTCTTCTTCTTCTTCTTCTTCTTCTTCTTCTTCTTCTTCTTCTTCTTCTTCTTCTTCTTCTTCTTCGTCTCCGTCTCCGTCTCCGTCTCCATCTTCTTCTTCTTCTTCTTCTCTTTCTTCTTTGTGAAACGGTTTTCACCTTTTGCAGTAACAGACGCAGATCCCAGGGTTCGATCCCTAGACCTTGCCCTACCTGTGTACAGTATCTGTGTAGACCCGAGAGTTGAACCTGTGACCTGTGTATTCGTAAACAGTTGGTAGGTCTGTCATAGGTCCATAGGTGGCAGGGTTTCGATCTGTAGATGTATAGAGTAGGAGTCTTAGCGAGTTCCAGAAGCCTAGCTGTAGTCCTTCTAGAAGGTCAGCAAGTGGGCAAGTGGGCAAGTGGTGAGTCAAGTGGTGAACTTAACCGCAGTGCGATTGCAGTACGACTACGGTAGGTTAGCAGTAAGTCCACAGTCAGTCAGCGGTAAGGTCCAGTCAGTCCCAGTCGAGTCCAGGAAGTACCACAAGGGACTGTGAGCACCATGGGCCGATGGAAGAGGGCAGACCAACGAGTTTCAGAAGTATAAATCAAGAGGCAGCGCCCAGCCTTTCATTCATTCCTGCGTGAGCCATGCGGAAGCACTGCCACAGCGACTTGTGCAAGGAGGTCTGCAGTGAGCCCGAAGGACGAAGTGGGCGAGAGAGAAGGGCGTAGCATAGCGACAGGGTAGAGGCAGCCATAGCTGCCATAGCTGTAGTTTAGTGTGTGTGTGTATGTGCAAGAGTTCAGAGTGATGCATTTGGGATATCCAGGGTGATCCGGTGTATGTGAACAGTGAGTTGTTTGGGCGCTGAGTCGCCATAGCCAGTTGGAAGTGAACTCGTATCTGGATGCCATATCTCTGAGTTTTGTGTGGGCGCATGTCGCCAGTTTGCTGCGCTGGTGTTTACATGCATGAAAAGTGTGAATGAGAACGAGTCTGATTGCATTTGCCACCTTCTTCTTTTCCTCCTCCTCCTCCTCCTCCTGTGGCTCATATCCTTTCCTTGACCATCTTCTCCATCACCTGGTTGGAAACAATGGGTATCCCCGAATCGAGAATCTTCTTCATGTGCACTGTGTCGAAATTTGTCAACGCCAAATTCTTGATCTTCCCTTCGTCCCGTAGAGCCTTCATTACACGCAACGCATCAAGGTATCGCTCGTCATGGTAGTCCCACCTGGCCAAACAAACAATAGCACAAAAAATCTCAGGAGAGTCAACAACCAGCAGTCAAACAGATACAACCGAAGATAACTGTCCTTTATGACATCTGTTAAACACGGAACAACAGTCAGAAGATTTCAGCATGGCTCCTGTGCAGGGATAGAACAAAGAGAAAAACAAAAGAAAAAACGGACTCTAAAGTAACAGCTCAACTTTCAGCTTGGACAAACCTGAGTTTATCCCTCTGTTAGAGTCACAACTCCTCGTGGCTGTAGAAAAAAAAAAAAAAAAAAGAAGGAAAGAAAAAAAAGATTCCTTGTTTTCAAATATCAACCCATGACATCTCATGTGCATAATGGCAGATGCTTCGAAGCATGGTTATGCCGGACCCGAACCCAGACACAGACACAGCTGGCTGTCTGACCGGACTGACATCTGAAAAAAATCCGGACTTCTGGAAAAAAAAAAAAAAAAAAAACCATCAGAGAAGGTTCACAAACTGGAGGTGAATTGGGACATACCTACCTCAAGGCAGTATCCTCTCTCTCTCTCTCTCTCTCTCTCTCTCTCTCTCTCTCTCTCTCTCTCTCTCTCTCTCTCTCTGTCTGTTTGTCA